ATCTCTAAGAACAATGGGGTGAATTTTGTGTTATAGCAAAGAGGATGTTTTTTCTTTTGTTGGAATGCAACAGTATTGCAGTTGAAATTGCACTCAAACTGTTGGCAGATTTTGAATGTTGTTTATCTGGAGTTTTATTTTTTGTTTGGCTGATTTTTCAATATCATGACAAGCGTTTCTATATACAAATATAGTTTTAACTTTTACATGTGCTAATATTTTGTAACATTTTATAATATTTATGACAATTATATATATATAGTAAACATTTAACTGAATTAGACTCACACTGCAAGATTTAGTGATGTAACAATGGAAATGGACCACTACAGAATAACTAAACATTAATTACAGACTTGTTTCTTTAATCTGACATTCATTAATCTTGCACTTTCATCACCTCACCTTTAGTTTACATCAGAGGGAAGACTGTTAGTTAAGTGCATTCAATTTTTGTAATCAGGTTTCACATTAATGCTGCCCCAAAAGCCAACAGCGATAACTTATTCTTCCTTACAGTGTAATATTACGAACATCCATAATAACTATAAAGGAATAACAGTATAAATTTAGTATTTTAAGAAGTATTAGTTGTGCTAATTTCTCTTATTGATTGGGTGACCATGGCCAATTGTAAGTAATAAAAATATATTTGGTAAAGAGCATAAGAACTTCCCTGTGAAACTTGGAAGCACTTATGAAGTTTTACTATAATTAATCAAAGCATTTTTAGGAATGAAAATCTATATACCTAAGAACGTCCTTTTGAAAAGTTGGAAACAATACCTGTAATAAGGTTAATAGGTACTCTGTCAAAACTTGACCTTTTATGACCTTGAATTTCAAATAAAGAATGATATCAAGTCAATAGAATGCAGTATTGCAATTGCATCGTAATAATATTTTGCCCCTGATCTAAATAGTGATATCTGATATTGTTAACAGTTCTATATGCTCTCAATGAAATTACTACAGATAGTGTTAACTACTACACCTATCTGTTTTAGGTTCTCTTTCTCTCTACTACAGGTAATCATTTTTACTACAGTTAGCGTTTGCATAGTCATCATTATATTAATTTAATACTGGTAACGTAGTTACTAGAAATAATGGCTCTAGAAGCTCGGCGCACTCTCAGAAAAAGAGGCAACATTTATCAGAGGTAGACGAGTCAACACACATGTTGTTGTTGTTGGTTTTTTTTGTTTGTTTGTTTTTTTTTCTCTTCAAATGGACACGTATAAAAGTAGTGACAGCCCGATGATTTTTCACTCTCACGTGCTTGATAGAAGTTGCAATATATTTCAATACCTTGTATGCCGAATTTTCTAATATAGACTTAGTATAATCATAGCACTCACGAAAAGAATAACAACGAGTGACTGCAAGAACATTCCACTAGATCAGGTTAACACTAAATTATAACAATTATGTTACTAGTGATGTATTTCACTATGGAAATGAACCTATATAATACAAATTTAAATAACCATGTAAAATGATTTCTTCAGTTATCTACACTATCGTTAAATCTTACACAAATCGGACCATTATGGGGTATCCAGGTAACAGTACTTTGACATGATTCTCTACCTTGATTTAGATTTGTTTGATTTGTGTGTTTGTTTGGAATTAAGGACAAAGCTATACGATAAGCTATCTGTGCTCTGCCAACCAAGACTATCGAAAACCGGTTTCTAGCGTTCTAGGTCCGCAGACATTCCACTGTGCCACTGGGAGCGAAATTTTTGGGGCTCAACCTTTTTATTGTTTGTTTGTTTGTTTGTTTTGGAATTTCGCGCAAAGCTACACGAGGGCTATCTGCGCTAGCCGTCCCTAATTTAGCAGTGTAAGACTAGAGGGAAGGCAGCTAGTCATCACCACCCACCGCCAACTCTTGGGCTACTCTTTTACCAATGAATAGTGCAACCTTTTTATAGTGCAATATATATATATAAAGGAAATTCATTTTTATAGCAAACAAAGCTCATTTTTCTTGTATATTAATAAAGCTATTTATCCAATAAGTGTATATATATTTATTTCGAGGCACAGAAAAAAAAAAGAATTGAACTGATGTCACTTGAGAAATACATTAAAAATATCTTTCTTTATAATAATAGGTGTTTTTAGATGATCTTCTCCATTATAAGTAAAAAGCTTAACATAACTTTCCGATTGTAGAAACATTATGTGTTATTACTGTTATATAACGCTAAACTTCACTGTTCGATTTCCGCAGTGGACGCAGCGCTAACAGCTATTGCGATGATACTGAACAAACAAGCTAACCAACTATTCTGTTCGATTATAATACTATGGAAAGTCTGATACAATTGATTATTATTGCTGCATTATACAGTACGAAACATCAGTATAAATAATATTTCTCTAGCCGTATAAGTTGGGCATATCAAATACTATAAATATGATGGTAAACATTAGAATAAATCAATAATATTACTCTTCCAGGCAAGTTCTTTATTACATATCTTTGAAGCAAGTAAATGTTTAGACTTATGTGGAATTAGCGTTCTTACATGAAGTACTATTTGAATTATGTCACGCTTTACTTGCTCTCGAAATGTTATATGAATGAAAAATCAAAATAAGAATATTACAATTCAATATGCGAATTTTTACTATTTACATTTTACCACCAGTAACCTTACAGCTCAGTTTTATACTTACATATAACGAATGAACCACTGCCACGTTTTGAAACTTCGCGATGTTCTTTGCGTTTCACTTCCAGAGATGTTGGGGTAGGGTATGTTCCCAAGGATATTCAGGAACAGATGGATCACTTCATCCAACAAGGAAACGATAGAGGGAAGAGTAGGTTATTGTATTTAGGAGCACTTGGGGAAACAGGGAGTAGTATGATCTTCGGATAAACATGAGTGGAGGGAGAATAGAGAAGAGGAGTTGAGTTTGTTAAGGTTGTTCAATTTTTTTTCTTGGTAGGAACTCTTTTAAAGGCTTGGGGGGTCTTAATAAGGTTTTATTTTTGTGTTGGTGATTCAGGATGATGTTCTCATTTGTCCTATTTTTTAAAAAATAATCAAAAATATTAAGAAGTTAGATTATTGCGTTTTTTTTAAATCTTTCACCATATATTCGATAACGTAGGCTGCGAAATATAACTTTTATTTTCAAGCAAGAGTTTCTTCGGGAATAAAATATTTCTTTTTTACTAAAATGTTAAAGGCCAAATATACATTCAGTGATTCAAGAGAAAAAAAGTCTTTATTACTCTACTTCTTGGATGACTTGCAGTAAGACAAGAGGAGGCAGGATTCTTGGCATGGAGTGTTTATGGAGTTCCGTATAAGTTAATGGAAACCTAGTGCCATCGCTTTCAGCAGGGCTTCTGAAGCTTGATAGATCTTGTTTAATAGGCAACCAAGAAAATATTGAGTAATAATCAATGTACCTGAGCTAGGGAATAAGAGGATAAAAAAAAGAATACATGCATGTAGATTGTAATGAGAAAATGAATTGGACAAAATAAGGGATTTTGTTGTAGAGTGTAAAAAGTGTTAATTAATGTTTGGCCTGGTGGTTACAATGTGACGATCAATCCCACTATTCGTTGATAAAAAAGTAGCCCAAGATTTGGCAGTGGATGGTGTTCACTAGCTGCTTTCCCTCTAGTCTATCAGCTAAAAGTTAGGGATGGCTAAAGCAGATAGTCCTCGAGTAGTTATGCGCGAAATTCAAGAAACAAAGAAACATTTATTTTGTTTAATGAACTGTTTTCGTGTTATCGCACAAACAATGGTTTATGGAATTGGAATGTAAAAGTTGAAATATTATAATTGCATTTGTATTATTTATTTTCAAATGTTTTTCTATAAAACTGTAACAGAGATAAATATGAAATATTTTATTTTAGGATGTGATATATTGCACTCAATAAACCTTTAATATATATATATGGTATCATTAAAAGCATTAAGGAAAAAAAAAGATAAATAATAGCTTACCCTTGTGGAGAGAAAAACTACTCAAATACTATATGAACAACATTGACTTTCAACATTTATCTAAAATACTTTAAAAAATAATGTTTCCCATGCCTAAAATGTTAATAATGATTCCTAGTTAACATTTATTAAGCAGAATATCAGCCTTTAGTAATAATTACAGCTTCTAATCTTAATTAATGGTAACCAATATAATATCTGCAATAACATGTTAAATCCTTTCACTAATATTAACATCATAAGTGATACTAATATAAAATACCCACGCTCCGCTGCAGGATTAAAAGGCCGCTTTTGATTCAGATAGGCTCCAATCTATCAATAAAGGTCCTCCATTATCCCCAATTATTCCTACAGTTATCCCAACGGAGTCCCTACCCAAAATCAAACCCAGTTGCAATGCCCGACTGTAGTGCTTGAGCACGTTTGCTGCTTTTGGTTATTCTAGTACAATTCCAAAGTGAGGGTACAATTCCAAAGATGGCGCGTCGTGATTCGGAGAGGTCAGGAACACAAATTTCGTTGTTAGATCCAAGCTCAACAACTCTAAAATCAACTCCCAGATCGTCATCATGCCTGAGTGACCTACCATAGAGATAAGGTCACACCCTGGCTCTTCTTGAGTTCGTCTGCTAGCTCCAAAACTTTGAATGTATTTGGAGGGCAAACAAACAAATTTACACACAATATGAATTAATGTAATGTAATTGTTTTACACCATTGCGGAAATGATGTAATGCATAGCTTAACAAATTTTCCTATATTTTATATCTTTATTTATTTTTAACTTGAATATCTAATGGAATCTGTTTTATCTAGTATAATATATGAGATTACTATTGAACAACAGTAAATTTGCTGCCATCATTAAAATGAATTTTACATAACCGTAAAGGATAGAAACGTGAAAATTTTCTCTTGGGTAGTTTTAGTAATGTGATAACATCAAGAAGTAAATGCATGAAATGGGCACGTAATTAATTAGATGTGTTTACGTTCAATGTATTTCAGGTGTTCCGGAAACTTTATATAACTGCACAGTCACAAACCAGACAGACTCTTCGTTTCGGATAGAATGCGTGGAAGGCTACGACGGCGGCATGAGCCAACATTTCATAATGGAAGTCCATGATACAACGCACAATGTAATTCGAGCAAATTTAACATCCAATTCTCCAGTGTTCCAAGCAACAGATCTGCCTCCTGGAGCCAGTTTTGTAGCAGTTTTATATGCTGTTAACAAAAAAGGCAGGGGAGAAGCAGTCATCCTCCGTTCTGGTACCCTAAAAGTCCCTGAAACTCTTACTCAAAAAGGTAAATATAGTGCATTGGGACAAATAAACAATTATATATTTATGTAACAACTAGTTTCATTGAGTTTAGAAATTAACTTTAACCCTAGAACAATTACATTTTCATAACGTTACATTAGAATAGAAATCAATTTGCAAAAGGTAATATTTCATTACAATAAATCAAGTCTATTTTAATAAATAGAAGATATAATATTACTTTTCTATATACAATATGTTGTCAGTACCAAGAATGTTTTCTGAATTTATTCTGTTATTTATATTATTATTCTTATCCTAAAATATAATAAACATTTAGTATTACATCATATTTCTCCTTTAAGTTAGGTACGTGTTATAATATACGAATGAATATAAATATAGGTTGAAACCTATTAATATCTTAGTAAATATTTAATTCGAGATACAGTCTGAAGTTTTTATTCAGAAATGATTTTTAGACTTGGTTACATATATCTTCAAGGATATGTTTACAAGTCTAAATAAATATATCTCTTTTAATTGATTAACAAGGTTCTTATTCCAATTAAATTATTAAAAGCAATTTGATAATAGATTAAGACGGTTAGTATTATTTCTGGACAGGTCAGTAATATTTCTGGACAGGTCAGTATTATTTCTGGACAGGTCAGTAATAGCCCTATTACTGTAAAGCAAAGCTTTATCTATATAATTATCGTTAATCCAATGTTTTGAAATACTAGTATATACTGATTAAATTGAATGGCAAAAGTAAACAAAACTGATTTATGATTATGTCTTACAAAACAAATTATAAGAGATCAAAGCGTTACATTTGTAAAATGTAATGAAGCGAAACCGGATTTATTTTGAATTTCTAAATGTACTCATTTTGATTATAAGACTTGCTATTTTACGCAGAATCAGTTAAACGCCAGCTAAACACATATATTAAGCGTAAATAACCATCTATCTTTACACATACAACAAAACCTCTTTACACTGTTGATTATAAACACATGTTTAGTCTTTAACTTCTCGTGATATTATGTTGTTTAAGAGATAATAAATATTATTCTTATATACTTCACATTCATACAGTTTTTTCTTTGTAATTCATACTCAGTAGGTTATTCGGTACATGTTAGTCTGATGCGGTATCTTACCCAACACAAAACAATGAAAAATATTTTGTTTTATAAGAAAATATAATGCTGATCTGTAAGTTTTCTTTACAGTATATGTTCAAATGGTTAACTAAAAGCAAGATAAAAAATATACTATTAACTCTGTGTCACATCAAGAATAGGTTGGCCTTATTTTTGGAGATTCATAATAAGTTTTATATCTGTTTGGATATTGCTGTTAAACCTTGTGTATCATTTCTGTGACACTGGTAAATATTTGTATTCGTAGTGAAAGATGTCCTAATATTTTTAAAGCAAACGTACATAAAGGGATATCTACAGTTTGTTTACTTCGGGGATTCTAACCCCGGGTTTTAACATGTAAGCCCATAAACTTACCACTGAACAACCATGGGATATCTCAGTATACTTCAATGCAGGTAATAATACTTAAGAAGTGTTCAACTGGCATAATCAAGTTTTCCAGTATATATACTTTAGATTACGAGTCAAGTATCTGCATAACTAAAAAAAAGTTATTTGCTGGATAAACATGTATGACGAACGTCCATAATATGCGTGTATGTACTTCTCTGTAGCAGTCAATCATTTAAAAAGAATTAGGGTCACATGCATGGATGCGAGCGACCATTAACGGCTTCTGAAGTCATTTTATAACCGATCCATAGTTTCAATGACAAAATAAAAACTCAGAAAACCTTAATTTGTTGATGAAGGTCTGAATATAGTTACTAATTGAGAAGATGATACATTGAAGAGAAGCCTAATTCATGTGCTAATATTGTCGACTGAACAACTACATATTACGTTCATTTGGCAACAACCGTTACGACTTTTTTATTCAGTAGCTTACAGAACATCTAAACGACGACGTTCGTCCATCAGTAATGAAAGAAATACTATAAATTTCAAGAAAAAAGAAATGTAATATCTATTTGTATGCGATATAATACAGCAAACTATAACACTGTCCAACTTTACTTTTAATACCACAGAGTGATATTTTAACGCTATTTTCATGCTCCGTTTGAATTGCTCTTTTCCATCGTCTTTTATTTGATTTTCATTTAATGTTCACAAGGTTAAAGGTTAAAGTTAATATGTTTTATTCTTATTCAACGTCTTATTTACGTGAAATCAATAATCTAAAAGTAAATGATTTTCTGCATCATATGCAGTAATTATGTAGTCAAGAAAGCACGTAATGTGCATCTTTAAGAAACTAATATAGAAAAATGGAACTTCTGGAGTTTTTGTTATAGATCTATATACGTTAATGAGGCTTCTAACACAGCCGTAAAAAAACAGAAACAAAAGCGGGAAAAATTGTACGTATCTCTTCAACGTCAAGAACATTCTGCTAACTACCTTATTCTCATTTAGACACGAATCAATTATTCACTCCATTAAACAAGCAACGTTAAAGCGAGAAGCTTAGAATTCTTAATAGTCAGAAACCAGACAACCGTTAAACCGCGAAGCTTTATCATTAGTTACTTCAGAAAGAAGTCCAATTAATCGTATCGCATGTCTTCTTATTTCCTCTGAACAGAACATTTTGTACGTGAAGTGTTTCCCTCTGGTAGCGTGACATTTGTGACATTAAAAGAAAAAACAACAAACAAACAAATAAACAACAATTCTAGGGAATTAGGTTATTTCTATGTGTTACTTAAGCACATAATGTAATATTTGTTTTTGTTGAAAATGCAGCTTACCAATTAGTAAGGATCAGATAAATTCAATGAATTGATTTTCGGTAATGCTAGCGTTGATTACTAAAAGAATCTGAATATACACTAGTATATTAAATCTGGTCAAAAACACCTTAGGTGTATAAAAAAGGTGCGGCCAAAAAAGGATTGAGTGTGCGACTTAAAGCAATCAAATCAAAACTGGCGGCCAAACTGGTAGCTAGTCTTATAGTATTGATAAGAATTTGACAGAAAATATTCAATCACTCGTTAGTTAGGCCACGTTTTTCATTCAACTTGGGGCATGATGGTGGGTAAAACAAAATACGCGGCCTAGATAACTAATGAATGAATATTTGCTGTAAAATTCTTATCAGTGATATAAGTGTAGCTACTAGTATTTAGATATCATGACTTTTTATCAATACACACCAACAAACCACAGCAAGTAATAAAGTGACAGATGTATACTTTACAGAACCAACCAGATTCTTTAAAACATATGGGTGTAGTTTTACTCTCTAAAACAGTGTTAATAACTTCCTATATTAGTAACACCACGGAATACTGGTAAACAGTTTCTTGTCATCACCGTATGCGCTTGGTACAGTCGTATCAAGCATCATTATTTACGCCAATTGCTTAAGCTAATACCACGTGACACTATATACTTTTTAATTAGGAGAATTTCATAAAATTTTGCAAATCTGTACTTAATAATTGGCAATGACTAATGAATAATAACCGTTCACCCGTATGATTCTTTTGAAAACTTGAGCTAGAAACTGATAATCTAGTTTGATTGGCCTAACCAATACTAATGTATCTGCACTTCCTTTCACCCTATAGTTTTAGTGCTCTAATCCGAATACCAAAAACTAAAAACGGTCCATATTTACTCTTAGATGAAGCTGTAGCAAAAATTACAGACCGATAGCTCAAGTGATTTTTTGTGTAGGCGTGATAAGATATTTTGATTAAAATTGAGTGTTTTTTTCGTTGAATAACTTTGCATTTGTGGCTTATATTTAGACCAAATTTGACACCTAATTGTAGGTTGCAAAGATTTTGAGTTTACCAAATCTATAAAAGTCAAGTATGTTTTGTATGAAATAAAGTTTCCGTACTTTTGGTGTGAAGAAAAAATTTAGAAGAAATTCAATCGTAATTGGAAATTTAATACCTCGTGTAGTTCTTAATATGTTGCGTTGATATGCAAAGTAAGGGTCCAATAGAGCATATCCACATAATATATGTGATAGTTTGGATTAACACAGTCCGAGCTAAAAAAAGTGGAAAATTGCTAAACTATTACTCCTGTTAATAACATACAGTGTGTCCTACAGGTTGTTTTGGCTGCACGACACACTACTCTGTGTCTTGATCTTGTCAAAGCTTCTGGTATATTTCTTGAAAGTTTTCAAAGTACAAAAAAAAACTCAGTATCATGTTTGAATTAACTACAAGGACTTTTATACCTTGATATACACACAAAAGCTGTATATTTGAACATTGACAATATACAGTCATCAAGAAAGTTTGCCAATATTATTCATGGCATCATATACACACAATAACTGCGTGATTAAATATATACACAATAGCTGTGTTATTTAATTTGGGAAGTATATAGTTATCAAGAGATGTTGTCAATATTATAAAGGTCATCATATACACAAAATAAATGTGTGATTAACTAAAGGCACTAAACAGTTATCAACAGACGTTGCCAATATTATACAGGTCATTATACTATGACCTGGACGATATTAGAAAATTGCTTCACAACAATATGCTGTCCATATTTAATCACACGGCTACTGTGTGTGTGTATATGCACATAATACCTGTGTGATTAAATATTGACTGTCTATTGCCATCAAAAGATGTTGCCAATATTATACAGGTTATCATATACACACAGTAGCTGTGCTAGTTACTTTGGGAAGTATATAGTTATTAAGAGATGTTGTCAATATTATATAGGTCATCATATACACACAATACATGTGTTTTTAAATATAGGCAGTATACAGTTATCAACAGACGTTGCCAATATTATTCAGATTATCCTGTTTTGTCAGTTACTCGTTATACAGAATTTTTATCTTAATGAGATATTAGTTTAATAAAATCGTGATTAATAAACAATATGTATTTTCACTACATCAGTCATCTTGTAAGTGGGTTAATGTTGT